CTTCTCCTGTGAACTTTGCTGAGAGGTGGAGTTTGAACTTAGGGGGTTCAGGTACTTCGGGTTTTTCCTCTTCTTTAGGCTGAGCCTGAGACTTTCCTCCTCCCAAAGGCCCTCTTACTGTACTAGCTATATCTGATTTGCTACTGGTTTCAGAGTTGTTCAGAAGTTCAAAGATATGCTTCTTTGCTGAGGTTGTTGGGAATTCTCCTAGAGGTTGTGAGACTTCCATTTTTGCAGGTTCTCCAAGCTTCTTAGAAGATCATCCAGGTTGTTTCTTTCTTGTGAGCTCTTGTCATGGAATCTGCTTCTCACTCCTGGTTGTCAATGACTCTATGTGTGTTTCAAGACGAAGCCAAATGTACTGTGATTCTGCTACTTCTCTCCACTGGTGTTCTGAGGTGGATGTTGATAGGTTGATCAGGCCTAAATCCGGAGACAGGTTCTTGACCACTTGCTGAGGTTAAAAAAATGTAACAAGTTCGTAAGGTGCTAATCATGTTATCAGTAAATAGTACGACAGTTGGCAGGCGGCCTGCTCTACCAGACAGGAGGCAAGAGCTGAGAACTAAAGGAGGCTTCAAAGGTGTACTGAGAAACAAAGAGGTAACTGTTCAACCAAGTATATTGAAATACTGTCTGTCAAAGTCTACCATTTCCATCGTGGAAACACACAGTCTTTAAATACACAAATCTGATTCATGTCTAGCATGAACAAAACTAATCAAAGGTATCAAGCGATACACTTTAGTAAAACCAATCAAGTATCAAATAATACTTAAAACAAACCAAGTATTGAAGTAATACTTAAAACAAAACATAAAACAAAACCAAGTATCAAACGATACTTAAAATAAAACATAAAACAAAACCAATATTCGAGTACCCGTACCGGTTACAAATATGCCCAGGCTTGGTGTATTCAAATTTTACGGGTTTTGCGGGGGTACCTAACCTGGTGAAAAATATGCATTGTTTTTTTTTTAAAATTATGTTAGCTTTGTGAAAAAGATTACCCAGTATTGGATTTAGTGTGTCTGAGTCTGAAGCATCATAGGGTATGTCGGCTTCAGGTAATTTAAGTTGGCTTGGCATGTGAAAAGCTGCCCTTTGTGGGGTTTGCGAGGTTCTTCTACTTGGTGAAAAGATGTCTCCCGAGAGGATACGGAACGTCTGGTCACAGAGCCAAACCCAGCTCCAAGAGTCTGTTTACGGCTTCAAGATGCTGCTTTGGGGCTGTCCGGAGCATCATCTAAGATCATTACGAGTGATCATGTATGACCGAGAGTGTCTAAGGTTTGGCCCTTCCTTCCTTGTTTTCCCTACCATTGGTAGTGCACGTCTTTGATCCTGTTTCATGAGGGATTTAATATGTATCTTCCACCCCCCAGAAGAGGTGAAAAAACCGAAAGTAAAAACAGAATAAGAAAGAAAAAAAATAGAAACAAGGCTTTGTAAACTCACCAGGCAGCAGCATCACATCGCGTACGGCGTTAAGTGGGAAGTGATTCATGGTTAGCAACCCCGGCTTCTCCGTCTATTTGGAGAAAGACGCGGTCCGCATATCGCGGAAGTAGCCACCGTTGAACTATCATGACCAGGAAGTAGCCTTAGGAGCCTCACCGGACCGACGAGTCGCCACCGGTTCAAGGGTCCCCACCAAAAAGAAAAAGCCGCTTCTCACGGCTACTCGAGCGCTCTGTGATAAGGTATCATATCATGCCGTGGAATCTTCTGCGGCCTACGGTAGTGACATGTATCAATGTGTGTAAGGCTTCGGTCCTTGAGCTGCGACTGGTTGGCGCCCTCGACCTACTGAAGTGGTCGAGTTGTTCACAAGAAGTCGTGATGGGGTATGCCGGCCGAATGCCACGAACCGTACTGTCCTCGTACAACACGGGCTTCCTAGTCCGAACCCTGTGAAGCGCGAATATATCAAGGAACTGTATTGCAAGGATAGTTCAGCCCAAGTAGGAAAGTGCGGATGGTTATCATGAGGGAGGAGACTGCTTTATGCAGGATATCTGACAGCATGGTGGTATCGAATGTGGAGATAGGGACAGATAAGGCTTGTTGCGGAGAAGCTCTTGGACAAGATTTAGGTTAGGTGCGGAGAAAACGGAGAACCGGTGCCCATCCTTTAAGCACGTTATTAAATACACTCGTACGGTTATTGCGATCCACAGCGCGGTTATCGAAACTTCAACTTGGGGTTTTTCTTTCCTTTTTCATCTTGGTGTTGATCACTATGACAGGTTGAAAGGTGCGGTAGGCGTTCGCGGGCTTGACTTCTCGGGTACCGTAATCCCCCAACGTATTATATGATGGATAGGCCCAGATACTCGTACTGTACAGTACAAGGTTTATCACAAGTTAGGTGATATGACATTTCCATCAACTTGCCCGTTCCCGCACAAAATCAAGTCCGACAAGCCCTCAGGAGCTGGGGGACAGCCAAACCCCAGAACACCGATCGGGGGTTTTCAAGCTACTCGAGTGCCGGTACGGTAGTAAGCGCTAGAGATAGAAAAAGAAAAGAGGGGAAAAGAGGGGAAAAGAAATCTCGAGGGTTCACGACGACTCAAGAGCGACAACCGCATTGGGAATCACATTGCTGCAGTATGGATCGCCCGCCCGCCAATGATCCGGAATCTTTACGAGATGAAAAAGATTTTCAAGTTAAGGGTAGAAGAAAGCGGAGGAATGATGCGATGTGATAGTGGGGACTTGTTGGTTTTTCACTCACAAAGTGGATCCCCTTTTTTTTTTGTTTATTGGATCCTTTGGTGAAAAATGTCTGGTCCTTTTTCCCTTTCCCTTCAATTGCGGTCGACAGGCTGGTTTGAAATTTCCAACCTTGGTTTGATGCAAGTTGAAGGAAGCATTCTTTGGCTTGGGCTTTGACCCTTACAGATTTGTGATACAGAGCTTACTCTCCTTGGTATCCGAGTTGCGTGGTGGACCAGGTTCAGTTGGCCGAAGGCCGGTTCCTGGGAATCCCAGAATGCAATGGGGGACGTCAAAAATTAGGGTGATTGCCGCCGGTTATTAGCCACATGGTTTTCGCGTGGGAGAAGAAATTCCTGATCTGGCATGGCAAAAGGGTGTCAACTACCCCATCATACATGAAGGGAAGAAATGCAAAGCATACAGTACGAGTGCCGTACTGTAGCGGTGAAGGAAGAAAAGAAGTCGTCAGGCTTTTTCACTGGGAGTTTGGCAGTTGGTAAGCAGGCAACTTATGATACAAGTCCCATGCAACAGCATAATATTATCATACAAACATTATGATACCATGTCGGTTGGATAGCAAACAATGACAGGATGCTTGCCCAAGGGTCATCGGAAACAAACGCTACCCTGACGTCAGGAGGGAAGGAAGAAAAGGGTAAATAGTAAAAAACAATGTGGTGATCAAGCACTGGAATCCCCTTCCAACTTGAAGTATAACGGCAACTCCTACCCGAGTACTCGTACAGCAGCGGTATACTCGTAGGTTTAGTCTCCCACCTTCTGTTTGGCAGGCCATGCATTTTCAACACTACTCGAGTATCATCATATCATATAGTAATTTACAGAAGAGAGTGAAAAATTCTAATGTTCCAAAAGGGGACGCTGGCCAGGGGTGACATCTGCCGGCACAAGTTACCGTAACAGCTCCCCCCCACTGTATTAGGGCATAGGGTTCCTCACAGAGGACCTATGATACTGATTTCTCCCACCCTCCACTTTTGGTATCGGGGAAGAGCATTCATTCATTCAACACACCTTCCTAGTTTTACGCTTGCAGCTAACTGAGGAGTCTGAGGTATATATAGTAGGCACGAAGGTAAGGAAGGGGTCGAAAGATTGTACTGTACAATACCGTATGGCCGATTACCAGGTGCCCATCTGAGCCCACATCCCAAATCCAGACTCAGATGTTTGGGTACCGGTACCTCATACCGGATATGATAAGTAACAGGGAACCCTCAAATGCTATCTCGCACTTATTATGCCCATGCATTTCACGTGGGCTTTCACCGGACAGGTTGTCGAAATGCTTTTGCCTTGTTTGTAGGCGTACGGCACTGTACAGTACTTGTACCGTCCACAATATGCCTGCCTGATGTGCTCTAACAATCGGGTATCGTATTCACTCTTGCTCAATGTTGCCATAACCGTATCTATTCGAAAGCAAAAGCAACATCACCAAGTCACATGCTAAATTAGGCTCACGCATGCGCTGTGTGCTTGGGTTACAAGGCACCCCACTGATTCGTTTCAGTGTCACCGTGCAGTGCTCGTACTTGCACAGTACGGTGCGATGTTTGGCTTCCTTGGATTGGCGTGATGGTGGTGCCATTCCCAGTGTTGGGTCGGCGCATACCCCGGGGGTATACCGGTACCGGCAGTCAATAACTTGGGTTGATTCTCTACCCACTGTATTCGAGCAGTGCTGTACCGTACAGTACACTATGCAAGGTATGGGAGATGCTTGAAAGTGAACATATTTGGATATGCACCAATCATAGCTACCTATCACTTTGCGCACGCAGATCGTCCTCCTGGAGCACGTTTTCCTCCGAGCCCGGTATACTCGATTGCGTGCCCGCGAGATCGGGACAGGTTCGTGGTTGGATGGGATGGTCGATGGGGGGACTCAGTACGAGCAACCGGTAAATTATGTGAAGAGGAAGGAAGGGAGAAAAAAAATAATAATAACAAAAGGACACATGCTCAAACGGATCTCGGCCGCGCGAGGGAACATTTTGAAAGGATTTTTCGAGAAGCCAAATGATATTGACGCCATGTTTCATTTCCACTCCCACATCCGAAATTGTTGAATACATCTCTCGGGAAGGGTGGTCGCACCTTGGGTTGAATATGGAGTAAATTATCTGGGGTGAAAAAAATATGATACCTCACCTGCATGCTCGAGGTTTTGAACCGCCGTTCTATTTATATAAATCACTCAATTGATGAACGACCACTTCTACCATCCTTGACTGTGTTCGGACATGTCTGTCGCTAGGATTTATCCGGTTCTTCTTAATATACATTGTTATGGCCCAAATCTGAGAAGTTCCGTGATCCGCGCTTCAATGCAAGTACTGTACAGTACTCAGTATTTGCTGCCTTGAGCATAATTCTGACAAACGTGGACAAGGTAACAACAGCTTTATGACCGTGGTTGGGGTTAGACCTACAAAAAAAAAGAAAAGAAAAGAAAACAGGGTACCTTACCGTAATTCTGCATGCTCGTCTAACCTCAGCCTTTACTCGAGCAGTATCCCTGGATGGGGCAACGATCCAACTGGCGTGCGGCTTGAAAGCCTCGCGGTTTTCTTCAAAAAAAAATTCCGGCTATCATACCTGTAATTGTGGTAAAGACCACGCATTCGACGCCTTTCCGTCAGAGAACGACCGGCCGGTTGTGGTTTGATAACATGAGCTCAACTTTCTGATACAAGGTTCAAACTGCTTTTTCCCATGGTTGCGAAACGTTAGTGCTCCAATGGCTCGGGCGGGGCCGGCTGAATCTTCCGAGTGTCGGATGTTTCAGAGGGTAGAGATTTGAAATCGATAAATAAGCCCAACCGGAGCAGGGGACCCCGTAGAGTGGTTTACTCGTACAGTTAATGCGCCATATGGTACGATGGCTCTTAGGGGTGGTTAATGTATCTAGCTCGGGCTACCATATCATAGTCTCGATGCGCTTCAAGCGCGCCAACCTCCAGACCCAACGCGGGTTGGCCGTTCCTCCGGCCGGAATTTCGGCGAAACCTTCACCGGGGGGTACAAACGCGCGAGTTACTGTCTTGATTTGACGTTAACTCACAGTTAAACGCTTTCCCGTGGTCGGTAGGCGGAATTGCGTGATAGGAGCAGACAGAAGGTAGCTCGGGGTGGGGGAGAGAGGGGGGATAAGCCCATGGTTTTGGTTCTCTGCATTGAGGAGAATCTCGATGCTTAAACGCATGTAAGAAATGAATTGTTTGGTTGAAGGGCGTTCAGGTAGTTTTGCCATTCCAAACTAAGGGTTTGAGTAGAGAGATATATAGCGCTGAAATAGAGAGCTCGGTAATCAATTGACTGCCAGATCGGTATATACACAAAAAGGGGGAACGAAATAGCCAAGTCCTGAGAAATGAACAAAAGAGCTTCCCCAGACCAACTCCAATATGCAAAGAAAACGAAAACCAAGCGGTAAGCTTCGTGTTGTGCGTCCCTCCGACCCCTTGTGTATGTACAATAGCCCAATTCTCTCCATTTTTATCCTTGGCAATTGAAACATCGGTTGTCGTCAAGTTGTGATGGTAGCCTTAGCTTCACCTCCGGAGAATTGAGGCCAATCGTGAGCGGCGGGTGCCCGATGCTTTAGGCTTTGGTCGGCGAGAATACACACAGCTCAAGCAGAGACTATGACCGCAGTCGCATGTAGTGCAATGGCAGTTTCGGCCACATTGGCAGCAGGTCCAATTCATTTTTGTGTGTGCTGTTGGGGTTGCGATGGGAAGTTCAATAGATGAGCTTTTGCTTCGCTGGAGGGACCTGATAGTGCGGGTGTGGATAATGGATGGCTCCTACTTGAGCGATGGCTTTAGGGATGTTCTGGGAGCGATCAGCAAAGGGATCGTAGGGGTAGGTGGGCAAGATTGTTCCGTAGTACTTACTGCCGAGAGACAGTATGCAGGAAAAGGGCACGGCTAAGCTTTGAGCTTCTGGATTGAGCCGGTGAAGGAGTTTGGAAGGATGATGGAACGAGGACTTTTTAAGAAGGATATGCGGATATCGGTATTAAATAGTAAAATAGAAAGGGAGGTTTGCCACCTTTCGCCACCGGGAAATTTTGTAAGGTGAATGGAGGAGCTGCTCGATTTTGTGTAAGGTCGAGAATGGGCAGATAAGCTGTGCGCGCAATGAGATATTGCCGGTATGAGGAGGAGGTATGCTCGCTTTTTCTCTCTTGATAGCTGGTATTTTTTTTCCTGTCCTTCACCAAAGTCCGTTCTGTGGAGCTGAGCATTATCTGTTTGGCGGCACCGTATCCGGGGGCTTATATAGATATCTCGTTCAGCTTATTATTTACTCGTTACTAGCACCGAATTTCCTGTGAAACAAGGAAACCCCTGGTTGCCACGCTTCGAATGATGCCCTTCCGTCACCATGGCAAAAACGTTCGAGAAAAAAAGAAGGGGCGAAGCGACTGGCTTTCCACTAAATGCGGGGCGCTTTTCGAGAGTCCGTGGGGGTGTAACCGCATAACAGGGTCTCTGCCAGAGCAACAATACCGGTGTGATAATTGGTTATTTGAGGGTAAGTGAGGCGAATGCGTACCGGTACTGTATTTCGGCCACTCAGAGGGCAAGTTATATCGTGGAGCCACTGTGGCCGGAGAAGTACCGTACCGGTAATCAAGCAGACTGTTCACCCAACTCTCTCTCTCCCACCTTCAAAAAAGAGGCAAGGACAGCCCTTCTCCTGGTTACACTCGCCTCAGGGATTATTTTACAGGTTAACCTAAATTAACTGTTCATTAACTTTATCGGGGATTAAGTATCATACAAGTACTGTATCGTACAAGTATGATACTCGAGAACTCGGGGAGGTGTTTTCGTACAAGACAAGGATGGTTAACCAGCAAAATAAACCCTGTCTTGCACGAAAACATCCCCCCCCGGTATGTACTTGTACTTGTATAGTACAAGTACTGTGTGCTGTACAGTAACTTACGGTACGGATTCTTTCTGCTACCGGACCTTGCTTTCTTTTTTTTGTTCTTTGCATGATAGTTAGTCGGAAGTTGCTAACCGTCATCCCACACTCACTAACTAGGCCATCACTTCCCCCGGAGTAATTAGTAGAGAGAGGGCTGCGTGCGAAGTTGGGTCACAAGATTCATCACCGTTTGCGGCTTTGGAACTGTCTGGCTTTGTCGACCGTGCGACATTCAAGAGCGGGGTATCCCGGAAAATCAATACGCTGTTTATTTTGTTTTGTTCCCCTTATTCTAATCTCTGGTCCGGAAGTTATGTTATTTCTTTTCTTTTCTTTTCCTTCCCGAAAAATATTGGAAGGGACGTTCGTTATGGGCAGCAGTATCAATAACATAGGAATGGGGGTTGAGGTTCCAACTTTTTCCGATAGTGATCATATCTAGGTCTTGTACAGAATTTTTAGGACTGAAATTACGCCAAGCGGAGCTCCAGGACAGCAAAAGCAACGGAAGCAACAACAACAATAACGTCCTCCCCCAGCATCAGCAACAGGAAACAGGCAACAACATGATGTTGAGATGCAACATTTTATAACAATTGGACTTGGACCTCAAAACTCTTATCTCGAGGGAACCATCCCATGAGAAACTAAACTTCTTCCTCGCTCTATAACCCGATTGGGTGGGTTTTTGGAGGTTCAGGTAGCACTTTCCTTTGGCCTAGTGTGTGGTAAAGAGGGAAAAGCAAGCACGACACCAAACCTGAGTCCGGACGGACATTCAAAAGCACAAGAGAGCGGCGATCAGGCTCACAAAGCAGTAGAAATAGAAAAATGCGGTAAAATTTTCTATAATACCTTATGAATATGTGCAGTAGTATACCCAGCTGGAGACACACCCCCAAGGGATTGAACGTACAAACTTGGATAATGTACCGTGCTAGTACCGTACTTGAATACCCGTAAGCAGTATCCTAGATGGGCTCTAAGCTCTCTTTCCTTTTCTCACTCCCTTTGAGCGGGCATAGACCCGATCCTCTCATTTGCTCTATCACAGCTGTATAGGCGGAGAAGGAAAGAGAGAGCGAAAGAGAATGCAGCAGCAACAGCAGCAGCAACAACAATAACAACAACAGCAACAACAGCAACAACATACTGTACCCTAGCAAGTTCTGTGCTATGCTACTGTATTACGTCGATTCGCAGAAAATAACCCGATATATTGCAAGCCCAGCAAGAGAGATAGCAGAAGGCTCGCTCAGAGTATGATGCTCAGGCCTCACATCTCACAATGTGCACGTGCTCACCCGCATTGGGGAGCTAACACTCTGGACTCTGGACCTAAGTTACGGTAGGCTTCTAGAAACGACACTTGTCGCACTGACACCCGAAACAGATGATGTTGCCCCACCCCATCTCCCACCACGCCTTCCTTGAACAGGCAGCAACCTACCTTCCAGAAAACGCTAGAAATACGAGGTAAAAGAGAGAGAAAAAAAATAAAAATTATTATTATTATTATAACAAAATCTTTTCCAAAGGGGATTCTAACACTCCTCTGTTTCATTGCCCGAGAGCGGGAGGTAAGATGTCTGACTGGGACTCTTCCCCCTCTGGAGAATCACTTTGCTCTGCGACTTAGGTTCTATTGCACTTGTGTGATAGCATACCGATAGTTGCACCACACGCTCGGTACCTCCAGGTCCACCTCTGCGATCGTTTCAGAAATGAAGGCATCGGTCGGTACAATATCTCGATGTGAGAATTCAGTGATGCAGCTGTGTCATAAATAATACTAACATTCTCCAGGACGGTCTTTTATGGGGGGCACGACGAATGCTGGCGGGTGACGAACATGGATTTGTGACAAGCATTTTTTTGCTATCCTAACATTGACGAATCCACTTTTTTGCCCGCCAAATACCCCTGTTCGTTGCCCGCCGGTATTCGTCGTGCTCCCCCCCACGGTTGGAGACTGTATTGCGCGGGTTCCTTCTTTCGCCTTCCTTCTTTTCCTTTTTCCTCTAACTTCCCCAACCTTAGGGTCTGCTGATTGCGATGATGCAATTTACCCCTAGGCAGCTCAGTACCAGTACTCAAGTAAACGACCGGTTTTAATACCTGTGAGAGGCTAAGCGCCACTTCCCAGCCTGATATGCCTTATGCTCGCACGTTTTCCAGGCACTTTTTGTGGCTACGGGTGCGGCCTATGGATATATGGGTCACGTGGGTCTGATAAGAGAAACTTGGTGAACCTTATTGTCTCAGTTATCCCGGATAAGGCACGTGACGAATGTATCCTTCGGCCGCACAAGTACCGGTATGGACAACCTACCGTGTGCCTGGCAATAACACCCCCGCCTCATATGAACCAGGAAAATCTACGGCACCCGCTAGATACGTTGATATATTATCTCCCACAATTCTTACCGCACACCCTTGTGGTTTCACTAGATTGTCTACTTTTACCAATATCAATATAACAAGCCTTGAGTCCTTTGAAGATGGGAAGGGACGGGGCGCTGCTGCGAGTTAACAAGCCGATCTACTGATACTACCGGCACCCACCACTACTCGCATGTTGGACCAGAAAGCGGGCGCGCTTTGCTGGCAGTGAGAGATATAGTTTGATCCCATAGATTACTGGAACCTCCGCATACGGTAGATCGTTGAAGAATCGGACCAAGTACTGTGTAGTCGAAAATTCGTCACTCTCGAAAAGGGGTGGAAAAAAACAAAGAAAAGGCGAGCTGACCAGTCCTTCTAAGAGACATAAAGAAACGAAAAGCAAAAAAGCTTCCAAGAGGGGGCAACTCCAACGACATACCGCTTGGTCTAATTATCCGAGTTTCTGCGGTAATTAATCTGCCAGACATTGCGCCCCTGTCACTACTAGTAGTAGTCTAGTCGGCCTTGGGTGACGAGGGGTGGACGAAGTGCAGATTGTGTATGTTCCAGGAATTGATATTAACGAGGGGCAGATCGCTTATTCCACCAGATTACTGTACAGTACACACATAACCCCCTCATATGGTGCAACCTCGGCTTGATAAGGCCCACTTCCGCTATCGTTCCATGGATTGAATTGGGGACGCGAATGCCCTCACGGTAGGCTAGCTGTAGAGGGGTTTCCATGGTAGTTATTGGTATCTGAAATTTCTATAATTGGAGCTGTAGATAATTTACAGAATATGCGGAGAAACCGGGCATGTTTTGGGGGCCTGAAATCCATGGGACAATACCCCCTAAAACGCTACCTCGGACCAAATGTCCCACTATATCATACAGTCTCCAGCTCTATCCTACTACCGGTATGTTTTAGATCGATTAAAGTTGCGCGGTATGTTTTTTCAGCCATGGTTTAGGTTACGGTGCCGTGGGCCACGATTGTGCTGCCGCGAAAACACGATCTCATCCCGCGGTGGCAATTTTGTTGGGCAAATCTCATGTGGTCTCTATCATCCAGGTTTCCTCCCCGCTTGCACTGCGCTCCTACCTTCCCTTCAGGGGGATAAATAGCAGTAGGGACGGTTGGATTTCCGGAATGACAGGTTCAACTCCCCGGACTATAGCCATTGCAAAGTGGGCCTTAATCTGGTAGAGTTAGGTTTGTTGAATGCTCTCATCCTATTTCGAAGTAGGTCTAAAATTAACTCGTACTCTCTCGCCCGTTTGAACCAGCTTTGCTCAGGTAAACCTGTAGCCGAGGGTCGTATCTGCTTACCTGTCCCCTTCCAGGACCGATAACCCAGTCGATCGAGTAACACCCTTCCCGGGTGGAGCTTTGGTAACATACAGACACCTTTTCATAACCGACGTTTCACCTCGGGGTTGACATGGCTCCAATGGCTGTGCAGTTTGCGGTCATCAAATATCACTCACAGCATTTTGTGCCAACGGCATTCGCCCAAACACTCTGCTTTGCCCAAAGAAAGAGGTGTCTGGAGCGGGAATCGGCAATTAAGGTTACGATATCCGGCTGGGGCAATCAAGTCGGATTGGCAAAGCTTAGGAATGCGTTCAACTGACAGCTGCCTGCGGCCCTGCGAGCCCTGTGACCGTAGCTTCCATCGTTCTTAGATACCACTCCGAGGAGGGGTGGTAAGGGAATGGCTCTTTGGACACAGTAAGAACTCGGATAAACGGACCATGTGTTATGTATCATAGTCTAAAATTTCTTCCTCTGGGAAAGGGGGGAAAAACGGACTAAAAAACCAGCTTTCCGGAGCCAGGCTTTACCAGGAGAGGCAACCCCAACGTCCTAGTGCACGGTCCGAATATTCGAGTTCTCACGGTATCCCTACCTATTGG